TTTTTCCCCCCCCCCCCCCTAAACACATTGCAAGTGAATTTTGTTTCACCCCCCATGACCCCAGACCCAGCGCGTGGAAACATTTGATTTGTGAGCGCTTTTACACTAAAATTAATGGATAAAATAAATTTTTAAAAAAATTATTATAAAAAAAAGAGACCCAACAGTAAAAAAGACTCTTTACTTTATAAGGAGACCCATCGGTAAAATCTCCAATTATCCGATCCAATTCTTCTTCTCTTTTTCAAGAACCCTAAATCTCTTCTTCTTCAATTACTCACGAATTCTGGCCAAGACCTACAATTTCGAATCCTTTTATCTGAATTAAAGCCTTATTCTTCTCTATAATCTTTTGGTTCATTTGATTTTAGGGCTTATTGAGTGTTTCGAATTTCTTCTTATTTGAGGGGTTCATCTGATTTTAGGGCTTAGTTAACAATGCGGTCAACTAACTTGGCTAGGCTTTGCATGGAAGATGATGATCCTAGATTGAATGAAGAAGTGCGTTGCAACCATGGTTATGTGCTGCCGATAATGACTGCTTGGACCCTTCAGAACCCCGGTAGAAGATATTGGGTGTGTCCATACTATGGGGTAAGTTTAATTTTTGTAAATTAGTTGAAGCTTTCACTTATTGACCTTTAATTAATTCTTGTGTTTCATCATTGTAGGGTCCAAGATCTAGTGATTTTTGGCGTTGGAGAGATGCAAAAATTGATCCAAGATCGAAATTTATTATTCCTAAACTAGTGGAGAAAATTGGTGAACTTGAAAGTGCATTGGAAGTGTATGAAAGTGTTGAGAAGCCTAGAAAAAAAAATAAGTGGAAAGGAAGATAGAGATGCAATTAGATAAGCTAAAAGGATAGATTGAGAAGATGAAACTTTCAGGTCATTGCTGAATATAGTTGCATACCAAAACAGAAATTCATATTGTCTTTACATATACCAACTGCCAAAAGGAAAACAAAAACACTGAAGTTCTAATATCTACTGGGCAGTTGATTGTGGTGCCGATGAACTTGTTTGGCTCAAACGAACTCTTTCAGATGCCTTTGACCTTGTCTATATTCTTTTCTTAGCTTGAATATGTTGAAGACTCCTTGAGGTGGCAGCTTCTTTACCTTTCCATTTCACCTATGTTCTTGGTTTGTATCCAATATCTCCAGTCACTACTATAGAGTTCATAGGCACAACTGACATTCCATGCTATGTTCACAAAAACAAACTTAGTTAGTTTACATCCCAAGTTTGATCAAAATGAGTTCATAGTCACAAATTGACAGTATATGCTTACATTATAGATGGAAGCTCCACTTCTTGTTTGTAGAATTCCCATACCAACCATTCTTGGCCTTTTATAGGGTGTTTGTAACGACCCGACCGGTTGTTTTGAGTATTACTACCTTGTCCCCCCATTTACTGCTCGATTTATGCTTTACAGTTGTTATGTGACTTGCTGGGGGATTAATTCGGGTCCGGTGAAGTTTTGGAATGATTTGGAACACTTAGTTCCAAGATTTATAACTTAAGTTGAAAAGGTTGACCGGATGTTGACTTATGTGTAACGACCCCGGAGAATTTTTGCTAAGAAAATTAAGGTTTTGTGGTGCCGAGATATATAAATTAGTATAAAGATTATAGAAATTTCTCGCGGCGAGCTTGCGAGTCGCGGCTCGTGACCTTTTGGGTTGAATAATACACTGGGGAGTAAAGAAAAAATTATGGCAGACAAAATGTATTTTTGCGGTCCATTATGCGACTGCAGAATCACTATGCGAACCGCATAATGGTCGCAGAGTAAAGCAGGTGAGGCGAGTTTGGAGATCAGGTTTGCGGCACATTATGCGATTGCAGACCAGTTTTGCGGTGCATTATGCGACGCAGAATAGGTCTGCGGACCGCATAACGGCCGCAGACTAAAATAGTGTTGCCCAGTTCCGGAGGGCCTTTTTGCGACCCATTATGCGGGCCGCAGAAGCATCATGCGGTCGCATATGCGACCGCAGATCTGTGTCGGGGCTTTAATTTTTATAATTTTTGACTCGACACTATTTTGATATATTGAGGCAAGGGGACTCTTTTGGAGCAAAAAAAATCTGATATTTTAGAGAGTGGTGAGAGCATCTTAGAGAGAGAAAGTGAAGACTTAGTCAATTGTTCATCATTTCTTGTTCAAGACTTGAAGATTTCACAAGGATCTTGCTAGGGTTTCAGCGAGATATGATAGCAATTTCGGAACAAATGGAGCGCACCAATACCTTCCGCTGAGCTGATAGCCTACTTGGAGGACTCTCGACCTGTCTATCGGGACCTGCGGGCATGAAACGCAATGTCCCCAGGTAAAAGGGACGTCAATACAAATAATGTACCGAGTATGTAAGAGATAAAAATCAGTAAATAATAGACACGAGAGAAACATGGAGTAAAAGACTCAACATGTAAGTCTAAGTAACTCTGTGAATCATTAATATTTATAATGTCATGCATATGCGTATAAATGTCGTACCATGAATAGGTATATGCGTTCATAATATCATCAAGCCTCTGAGAGCATCCCATCACATCATCTCGGACAGTGTGGGCAAATCATCAACGTATACCAACTGATCAGGTGGTGGTGCATATATAACGTCATAACCTTTCCTCATACCCCATATACATATATATACGCGTATATAATGCCATCTGGTCATGGGTCAATGTACATGTATAAATGAATGCAATGCATGAGAAGTACGTCAATAAAATCTCTCGGTACGTCATAAGACCATTATGCATCTGATTAATATCAACTACATATTTTTCTGAAACCCATGAACAAAAGATATAATAATAATTCACATGGGGAATCAAGAACATAGGCACTCCTAATACTTATATGAATAGAGTCATTTATGAAAGTTGTGATTTTGCTCGTTTCATTTGTATTGTATGAATCATGCCAAAAAGAAGATAGCCTTAACATACCTGAGCCGATTCTCTTAGCAATCCCTCTAACACACGTCTTTTGTGAAAACACGTAATGGCGGATCGAAGTAGGGAAAATCCGTATGATGTTCTTGAGAAAGATTATACTGGGCTCCCTTAGAATTGCATCTTACGCTGCTATTACACAGTATAACTTCGACGAAATTCATTTTCTTCGATTTGCTTACTCTCTAACCTTCACGAATTTACTCATCACTTGTTTGAAATAGCATAATACTTATAATCTCCAAACAATCTTGTCCTTGAACTGAAGTCAATTATCTTATGATAATTTCAACGTATAATACTACAGGGTATAACATCATTGTAATATAATATTGCGGGGCGTAACATCGATGTAATACTACGGGGAGTAACAATTTCATTGTTATTGCACTATAATTGACATACATTGTTGTGTCGGAAATTTCTGAAAGATATTATCTTTTTTTTCAGTTGAACTTCATATGAAATTACTGTTGAGTGTTAAATGTTGAACTTAAAAGCATGCCTACCTTAATATGTTGGAAATTACTGTAATTGAACTCAGCTGTGAAGCTCGTCAGTACTTTCAGTTCTTTATTTAGTATTGTTACTTGCTGAGTTGGTTGTACTCATACTACATCCTGCACCTCGTGTGCAGAACCAGGTACCTCCGGACACGGCGGTTGCTAGTTATTCAGAGCTTTATATGTGGAGACTATCGAGGTAGCTGCGTGGCGTCCGCAGACCTTGACTCTCTTCTTTCAGTTGTTGTATTGTTCTATATTTTTTATACAGTATTTTTATTAGTCATACTGGTTATCATTTAGATACTCATGTACTCAGTGACACCGGATTTTGGGAATGTATTTTATGTCAGTGATTTGTGAGATTTTCTATGAAATTCAAATATTATATTTTAAAACTTATAAGAAATCATGGTTTATTGAGGTTGTCGGCTTGCCTAGTATTGAGATAGGCGTCATCACGACAAGTTAGGATTTTGGGGTCGTGACAGTGTCCCTCTTCCTATACCAGTAACAATATCCTATAAAAAGTGTAAATTATTAAGAGGTTAAATATAAAACAGATCTACAAATATGTAGTCTATAAAAGTAACTTCAGAATAATTACCTATTTTGTTGAACCTCATGGTCTTCCTCTTCCTCTTCCTATTCTTGTTCCTGTTTTTGGTACACTTTGAACTGAAGGTGTTGATGAAGAACCAACATTTTATGACTTTGCACCACCAGTTGATCTTGTAGGACATTGTGTAGCCTTGTGACAACCTTTCTTATTATGGCCTTTAGCATGACAGTTGTTGCAGGTCATCTGGGTACCTCTTTTGGAAAGCTTTCCTATTTTGTTTTCAGTTGGTTCCCTCCTTCTCACTTTCTTAGGCCTGCCAGGCATTACTCTTACTTTTGGTGGTATAACTGAAAGGTTTTGTGATTCTGGCCACATCTTCATATTTTGTACAGGCTGAAGGAAGTGACTGTAGGTTTTCATATAAGTTTCCCTATGGTACGAATGTGCAATATAGTTAACTGGCTCCAATTTCTTGAAATGGATAGCAGCTACAACATGAGCACATGGTATACCCTTCAGTATCCAAGCTCTACAAGTGCAAGTTAGCATGTTCAGATTCACTATATACTTACTAGTGTGTCCTTCCTTCACTTCATAACCATATTGACTATTCCAGTGCACCACATATTTCATTGACTTTGCTATGTTCTCCTGCAACACCTTCAGTGCCATTGGAGAAATGTCACTAATTCAAGTATCACATAAATCCCTCATTTGTGCTATTCTTATCACCATCTTCACCCTAACCTCTTCAAGCAGTGTGATGATTGTCTTGTGCCTTGGCCCCAATATCCAAGAATTGAAAGTTTCAGCCATATTGTTGTTAACACTGTCACAATTATTGAAATACTTAAAATACACCTTGCACCACCTCCTTTTGTCATAGTATAGCAGTTCATCAACTATTTTATCTCCTAGTTTCTATATATGATCAAGATTTTCTTTAACTCTTGTTCATAAGTTGACTTAGCACATCTCCAAAAATAGTTCCTTATCTCAATGCCTCTCCATTTTTTTGACCAGTTTGCTGATGTGCCTGGCACACATCCTATGTTCTGCCTGTGGGAGGATCTTCACAAACCATCTCCAATTAAATGTGTTTTCAACTTCAACTACTGCCCAAGCCAATGGCAACATCTGATTATTCCCATCCTTACAAACACCCACGAGCAATTGCCCTTTACATACACTTTTCAAAAAACAACCATCAAACCTAATACACCTCTTACAACCATAAATGAGGCTTTCTTCAATGCATCAAAGCATATATAAAATGCTACAAACATTTTCCTTCCCATCTTAATGTGTTTTTTCACTAAGTCTCACAACACATGTGCTGCCTGGATTAGTCCTTAACAACTCATCTTTATAGTCTAGAATTCTACTAAACTCCTTAACATGGTCTCTCATAATCTGTGTTAATACAATATTCTTGGTTTTCCTTGCAACGGTCCTTCCAATATACACTTCTAACTCCTTTTAAACTAACTCCTGAAACTTAAAGATTCTAATATTTGGTTCAGAAATTATTATGTCCTTGTATCTTCCTGCTACGTACTTTGAGTTGCACAGTTTGTTCTTGGTAGTACCATTGCACTTGTGAAGTGGATTATAGTTCTTCACCACAAAATTCTTTGTCCTAGAATCATAACTAGCAAACAAGAGCCATGGACAACCAGCACAACACTTTACCCTCACCCTTGTTGGTTCATTAACATACTTATCTAACTTTACATGTTCATCAACTGCATACTTAGTATGTACTTCTCTAAACTATCTAACACTCTCAAAAGAAAGTCCAGTTTCCCAAACAATCAACTTACAACTAGGATCAAAGATAACCCTATTTTGTTGCTTTCTTCTTGCTCTTACTGGCTGTTGGACTTCATCTTCACCTTCATCATAAGCAGTTTCATCAAGATTTGTTTCAAAACTAGTAGCTTCATATGAGGGATAGTATGTCTCATCTCCAGCAATCTTACCCTTTAAAGATGTCTTCTTCCTAGCTGTATACTCATCATATCTTACATGTAGACCCTTTTTACCTAACTTGGCATGTCTAGTTTGAACCTCTTTCTCTTTTCTCTTCCTTTTATGCACCCTTTTCCTCTCTTCTCTTAAATTCCTATACTCCTCATCAACATCACTACCATATTCTTCTTCCCTTTCCTAAAACAGCTCTTCAATTTCTGAATTTGTATTATGGTCACTGCTTTCTACATCGGTTTCAGCTAATGGAGTATTATCAAGATTAGAAAGACCACCCTCATCCCCACCAGACACATTATCAGCAACATGAATACTATTTTGTGGTTCTTCAAACCCTACACCTTCACTGCCCCAACACTTTGATTTATCCATTTATCAAAAGACACACTAGATTCCCCACACACATGGCATACATATTCAATAGCTGTATGGACCACTAATGCTTCGTCAACATAGTGGGACACATACACTTCAAATATATCCCCATTTTTAATAGAGGCATAATACCCATAATATCCCTATCAGTTAAATTTTTTACCAAAGTGCTAGAATTAGGTGGTCTTACATAAATGTCACATGTTTCACAATTATACTCATTTTCTTTCACATAGTTTACAAACTCACCACCAACAATAACAACCCAGTACAATCCCACTAGTGGGGTCTGGAAAAGGTAGTGTGTATGCAGACCTTACCCCTACCATGGGGTAGAGAGGTTGTTTCCGATAGACCCTCGGCTTCTTCCCTCCAAGAACTCCCCACCTTGCTCTTGGGGTGACTCGAACTCACAACCTATTGGTTAGAAGTGGAGAGTGCTCACCACTAGAGCAACCCACTAGTGGGATTATCTGTCAACATACGAAAATCCATTTCAAAGTACTTTGTCATAATACCTCATTCGTAGTTGATAGTATATTGTTGTAACTGACCTCAATGGAACATCCTTAGTGTAACGAGTTCAAAAGCCATTTCTTTGAATTGAAATCAGTAAACAAGAAAAATGTCCGTAAATATTTTTTTACACTTCAAAATCGACAACAGATTGAAGAAAACAAGAAGAACTTACAAGAGAAGCCAACGATCTTCAGTATCTACACTCTAATCGACGATATTTGGGGGAAAATCGACACTAGAATTTTGACTTCATCAGCCCTTTTCCCATTTTATTTAGAGAGAAATGAGGTTGGGTAATTCAGCCTAGGATAAAAAATAAAAGATAGCGGGTCGGGTATTTTAATCGGGTGATTTTTTAAGTAATGGACCGAATCATTAAAAGGATTTGAGTTCATTAATAACATGACATCACCAGAAAGAGCGTGGTTCACACTCGTTTGTCTTTAACTGGTTTGGGGTCATGAAGGGTGGAACAAAATTCACTTGCAATGTGTTTAGGGGGGTAAAAGAACACCCGTTTAGTTAAAGTGTTCAAACCTATTTTCTGAAAAAGTTTAATGGGATTTTTATGTATTCTGCCTATTATGTTCAAGACCAAATGATGCAAAAATTATATTGTCACATCATGACATGCTTAAGACCATAAATTTTAATAGTATTTAGTTATTTCCTAATTCTCGGGTCAATCTAACAAATTCACATAAAAAGGGACTAGACGAAGTATAGGGATCAAATTAAACATACCTTCAAAATTAAAAAAACATCAAAATTCGAATTAAATAATTGCATTTGACTCCTCACCTATCAATAAACTCTAGTTTTTTTATGTGCGATACGTAGTGGGGCGTTTGGACATAAGAATTGTAAAATTTCAAAAAGAAGTAAAAATAAAATTCAAGTGAAAATGGTATTTGAAAATTAGAGTTGTGCTTGGACATGAATATAATTTTGGGTTGTTTTTGAATTTTTGTGAGTGATTTGAGTGAAAATTTTGAAAACAACTTTTTGGAGTTTTTTAAATTTTTAAAAAATTTTAAAATTTATTTTCAAGTAAAAATTTGAAATTTTATAGCCAAATACTTATTTCGAAAAAAAGTAAAAAAAATTTCATTGCCAAACGGGCTCGTAGTAAAGCATATTTAACTTTGAATTAATTAAAATGTGTGTTTTTACCTTTTTACATTCTAGAAATTATACTATACGAAGTATTTAAATTCTTCCTAAAACTATATTATCATCAAATCTATATTATCATCAAATATGTGCTAACATTTCAAATTTTGATTAAGATAGATAATAAAATAGTTTAACAATTAATAATTAATAATTTGTTAAATGTGTAAACAATTCAATTGATCAAGGGTGAAAGCATTTGACTAGATAGCACAAGAACGAACATCGTAATTTTATTTGATATTTTAGAGATTAAAACTGCAAAAATCCCTCCAAATTAAATGGACAATTTTGGTTAAAAACCGCAGAATGGTACCAGTACCACCTGAATTCTGTTACGTCAACCCCCCGAGCCCACAACCGCCATTGCACAGAAGCAGATTCCCCATTCCATAAATACAGAGCGCGCGTGAGGAGTGTGTGTGTGTGTGTGTGTGAGTGAGANGTTATAGACTGCAATTACGTCAACCCCCGGAGTCCCTCACAACCGCCATTGCACAGAAGCAGATTCCCCATTTTCCATAAATACGCGCGTGAGGAGAGTGTGTGTGTTTGAGAGAGAGAGAGAGAGATTTGGGTTGAAATGGAGAATATCGACGAGCAGAGTGAAAACGTAGTACAGCACCCAATGGAAAACCCTAGTGAGGAAGGAGGGGGAGTAAGAGGAGAGAGTTCATTTCTGAAGAACGATTCTTCAGAAAGCAGAGAAGAAGGAGAACTCTCTTCATACGACGACGTACGTAAAACCCCTCTCGTTTACCTCTATTTCTAATGTATGCGTATTAATTTAATCCAATTTGCTACATTTGCTTCATTACACAGCTCATTTTGTTGAGTAGTATATGTTTAAATTCATCATTTTTCATTTTGCTACCTCTATTTCATTTTGTTTTTGCAATTTAAGCCTTCCCAAAGTGTAAAGGCTGAGAAAATACACCGCTACATTCAACAACCACACCTCAGTCCCAATCTGTATATCCTCAATTTCTGTTCCCTTACATTTGGGACCCTATCATTCTAATACTCAATAATTTGTCTTTGTAAGATTAATTAGGGTTTAGATATTTTCTACATTTTTTTCAATGATGGTGGTGGTTGGACCAGATTGAGCTTAGTTCAATTGTTTCATCGGGTATTTGTTGCTCCCAGCCTCCCACCAGCAGAAATAGTGGGTAACTCTGTCTACCATGACGTAGGCATATGAGAAGAAATCAGCTAGTGTTTTCTTGCCTCCGAGATTTGACCGCTAGGCCACACCATTGGGTGCAGTTCTTTCCTGATAGTCTCTCCTTAACCTTCTTGAATTTAGTTGCTATTGCCTAAGAAGTAAAACTTTCCCCCTCGATTTCCTTTCTTTCACTTTCGTGTTGCTTTTGAGTCCTCCGGAACTGTATTTGTTAGTGAGTTTCTGCTATGGTGAATATGTAAGAAGTTTTATGGGGCAAATAGAAGCTGTTCTGGATTAGTAAGCTACATCAGTGTTGAGTTGCTTGTAAATTGTTTTCCACAGGATCAAAATGTTTGTTCCACCGATCAGCTTAAGAGCACCAGTGCTGCTCCACTGGAGCAGCAGGTTCACATTGACACAGTGAATGAGAATTCCCAGGATACCCAGGCAGGTATGTCCTAAAGCTCGAGTATTAAAACATTTATTTATATTTTGAACCCTTGGTTTCATCTACCTACTAGGAATGGCTGTTGACGATTTTTGATCAAACCATCTCTTCAGCATATATGCACATCGTTGTTAAGTTCACTCT